CACAGTCACAACACAAGGATACAGCAGAAAAGGCTTTCTCTGGAAGAAGGATTACATTGGTAAATATGTACAATAGCATCATTACATTACTAGGGATTAAAAATTCAGCTGCGAATGTGAAACATTCTACATCAGGCAAAAGGAGTGCATGAAGAGTGGTCGTTCCTAAAGGACATGATCCTTGAAGCACAAAGCAAGTCCATTCCCATGTGGAGGAAATGTAGCAAAAGGGCTAGGAAGCCCTCTTGGCTAAACAGGGAAATCACGGTCCTCTTAAGAAGAAAGAGTCATACAGTCAATGGAAACTAGGGACAGCTCTCAAGGGGGACTATATAGCTATGGCCCTGACTTGTAGGGCTCAGATTAGAAAAACTAAGGTGGTGACTGACCTAAAATTAGCAACGGGAATCCAGGACAACAAGAAGTCCTTCTTTAAGTATGGAGGAAACGGGAGGAAAACAAGTGGTGTGGGGCCATTGTTCAACAACTCAGGACAGCTAGTCACTAGCACTCAGGAAAAACTGTACTCCTGAATGACTACTTTGCTTCGGTTTTCCACAAGGCCAAGGGGAAAATTACGTTGGCTAGGGTACAGAACGAGCAGGGTTCAAGTGACCGCCTTCCTACTATTGCTGTAGAACTGGTGTGTGATCAATTACAGAAATTGGACATATATAAATCAGCACGACCAGATTAACTTAATCTGAGAGTGCTGAAGGAGCTGGCCAAAGTCATCATGGAAGCACTGGCAAAGCTCTTCCAAAATTCATGGTGCTCCAGCGAGGTCCCCGAGGACTGGAAGAGGGTCAATATTGTGCCCATCTTTAAGAAGGGGAGGAAGGAGGGCCTGGGTAACTATAGACCAATTAGCCTAACTTCTATCCCAGGGAAAATCCTGGAAAAATTCATTAAGGAGTCTATACGCAACAGGCTTGCAGAAGGTAGGATTCTAAATGACAACCAGCATGGCTTTGTCGTAGGCAGGTCTTGTCTTACCAACCTCGTCTCCTTTTACTATCAGGTGGCTTGCCACCTGGATAAGAGGGAGGACATTGAGATTATATACCTCGACTTCCAAAAGGCTTTCGATCTGGTATCCAACAATGTTCTCGCAAGAAAATTGAAAGACTGTGAACTTAACTGCAAGACAGTCAGGTGGGTAGGAAGCTGGCTGTGGGGTAGGACCCAAAGAGTTCTAATGAACGGATCTGTCTCTATCTTGGTGGGAAGTAGCCAGTGGTGTCCCACAGGGGTCGGTGCTTGGTCCAGTGCTATTCAACATCTTCATCAATGATTTGGATGTGCGGGTGAAGAGCTCACTGGCCAAGTTCACAGACAACACCAAGTTATGGGGAAGCATGGTCACACATGAAGATAGGCTGCAGATACAGGCGGACCTACAGAGACTTGCATGTTGGGCAGATGGGAGCCAGATGAAGTTCAACGTCAAGAAATGTAAAGTGCTCCACCTGGGGACAAACAAACCCCTGTACACCTACAGGCTTGGCAATGTCAACCTGACCAGTACTACAAATATAAGGGACCTGGGCTTAATAACTGATCACAGCGTGAACATGAGCCAGCAGTGCAACGCTGTAGCCAGTAGGGCTAACAATACCCTGGCATGCATCAATTGATGCATCTCCAGCAAAACCAAAGTGATTCTCCCACTTTACTTGGCATTGGTGAGACCACAGCTGGAGTGCAGCATCCAGTTCTGGGCATCACACTTTAACAAGGATGCAGTGAAGCTTGAAAGAGTTCAGAGAAGGACCACCTGTATGATCAGAGACTTGCATGGCAAGCCATATGAGGAAAGGCTGAGGGGTCTGGGACTCTTCAGCTTGAAAAAGAGCAGGCTGAGAGGGGACTTGGTAGCAGCTTACCACTATATCAGAGGCGTACATCAAGGGCTCGGTGAACAACTGTTTACCGGGGCACCCTTGGGGAAAACTAGGAGTAATGGTCACAAACTCCTGGAAAACCATTTCAGGCTCAACATTAGGAAAAAAAACTTCTTCATAGCTAGGGTGTCCAGACTGGAATAAGCTCCCTCCAGAGGTGGTACAATTTCCTAACCTGGAAATCTTTAAGAGGATACTGGACAGGCACCTTGCTGGGGTCACCTGACCACAGTTGTCTTTCCTGCTTGGTGCAGGGGGCTGGACCCAATGATCTTCCAAGGTCCCTTCCAGCCTTACTATCTATGAATCACCTACCATTCATTCTAGTTGCTGAGGATGGGTTAAGGTAATCATCATTTTCTAAAAGGTACTTAGGAATTTCTTGAGTTTCTGTTCCCTTTTGTCAGACAGATAATTTGTTTTCTTCTGGGAGCAATAAACTAGATCACAAAACCTTTCCTTTTTTTTTTTTTTGATCTCTTTGACTTGTCTTTCAGACAGGGTCAGCAACAAATTGAGATGACATGCTTTTTGTCTGTATTGCAAAGGTAAAATATGTAAGGATGGACCTTCTAGGTCAAAGGAATCAGTCTGAGTCAAAATCAGTCAGGGAACATTATCTATGTTCTTTGGAACTCCCTTTGAAGCTGAGGAGAATCTGAGAACTGGTAGAATAACATGGCAAAAATTATCTTTTTTAACTTGCTCGCTACATGCTAAGTATTCAGTTTACTAGGACTGTGAAGTTGGTGAGGTCCCCTCTTAAATATTTATTCTGACTACAGTTGATATGAGACTGAGGTTGGGAGCAGCAATATTGCATGTGTTGGGAATGGTAGAATTTTTAAATGGAATTATGCAGAAGAGATTTTGTTTAACGTCAGGGATCCAAAAGCCATATTTGGTGGCATCCTTGCTAGCTCATTAACAGGAAGCTGCAGGAAATTCTAAGACCATTAGACTATATTATATACTTTGCAGCCAAAACAGGAGTCCAAGACATGCCAGATTTCGTGGAAGGACTTGCTGTGGCACCCTTGCTACCTCAGCAACAATTCTGTGACAGCAGGAAGTACTGTTGTAGGCATATCTACCTCATAGCCCCGTGGTGCCTCTGCACTTGTGTCCACTAAATCAATTTGGTCCAAGTCCTTATCCACACTGTAGTTAGAAGGGAAGGAATGACTGCCGCAAAGTCATGCAGGAGGCAGAAGATATTAGCTACTAAGAACACATTTCTGTGTCTTGGCTTTCTCCTTGTACTTTGCTGGTCTAGCAGGGACTGGAAATAGGACATCTGAAAAAACCATGAAGCTCAAGGCTCCATGTTTCATAAAATTGATTTCCAAAATAGGTATGGAGATGTTTTGGGCAAAGATGCCAAATGTTCTGTAGGAGCAAGGGGTCGCAGCCAAGACAAAACATTTATTCCATTAGGAAGTTGGGAATCCAATATAAAAGCATCACAACATAAAGGTGGAGGGCCAAGATACATTGTAGGAAGTTAACAAGCTTTCAGAAATACCTTGCCTAGTAATGTATAATATTGTAATAATTATATTCACTAAAGCACTGTACCTTACCTGGCAAATGGGACTGAATACAAGTTTCTGTATTTCCTCCCTGAGCTGCCATCTCCCATGCAAACCCCTCTTGCTTTGTCCAGGAAAATTAATCTATGCTTAAAAACATTCTAAAGATAGAGCTGCAATGGTGAAAAGTACTAGTGTAGACAGGCTCAAGCAATCACTTGTGTTCTAACCATCATAGGTTTAGCTGTAATAAACAGTTTCTAACAATAAATAGTCAATCTTGTACACTATGCAAACCGTTGCTACTATGAAGGGGTGAAAAGGCTGAGCATTATCTTAGCTGGGATGTAGCATTTTGATACTGCTCTGTGGACAGATCTAAGAGGAGGAAAAAATTAGATTCAGTGGGCACATCTACACATGCGAATGCTCTGGGATGGGTTTACCCTAGGGTAATTTATCTGAGTAAACCCAATCCAGGTGGGCATTTACGCTTGTGGGGAAACAGGAGCAGGTTTGCTGCTCATGCCAGCAGTCTGCTCCTGACCCCACCAACTCTGCACTGGCCCCCTACAGCAGCCAAGGGCGTTCTAGGGCAGCCCTCCCTGAGTGCTAGCCCAGGGGCTGGCAGGGAGCAGGGGGCCAGGAGACAGTTGTCTCCTGGCAGGGGCTGGGGGATTGCTCCCTGCCCCTCAGAGCTGCCTACTGCCAAGACAGGCTCCACCACTGGAGCCTGAGTGGGGATAATGTACCCCTGCCCTAGCAGCAGGGAGCTCCCAGCTCCTGCTCTATGATAGCCCTGGCGGTGGAGCCTCCCCCAGCAGCAGGAAGTGCCTGGGGGCAGGGAGCAATCTCCCACTCTGTTGCCTGAAAGCACATTTGCTCCCAGTTGGCTGTCTACACTTGTCATACTGTGCAGTAATTACTCCTGAGGAAATTTGCTTCTTATATTTACAGATAGCAAATTTACTTGTGATTAGAGCAAATTACTGTGCAATAAGCATCGGCATGTGCACACTGCGATGTAGTAATTTGCTTTAATGTAGAGTACAGCATCTAGTGTAGATGTGCCCAGTTGAACTTACTGGGTTGCCTTCTTAATACCTGTTATTTATCTAGCCAAGATGCAAGGGCCCAGAGGTTGTTGCAAATACCCGGATAATTACAGCTTATTTGCTTCAAAACTGGCCATTTTATGGCATTTAAGGGCAATGAAAAAGTCTCTGCAGAGATAGCCAAATTATACTTTAAGTCAGCCGGTAGTCTAGGTCTACATAGTTTATGGTGCTAACTTTTAAGCCTCCAGTATATCTGCCACCTATTATGTTTTGGTTTTTTTGGATGTGACAGTACTTAGTTAACTTCCACTAGCTTTCCTGAAGTTATAAGCAGCCCACCACAGGACTGAATCTAACAGGTTTTATACAAAAAATAGAGTAGAGTCTTGGTTTAAAAACTGAAGTTGTAGGGACTGGGCAGTGCAGAAGGGTTAGAATTAAACTCTAGAAATGATGTAATATAATCAAGAATTGTAGAGTTTTTTCATGAATTATCTTGAAAACGCATAATTTATTTTCACAGTCACAACACAGAAGACACATAGAAAATATTTAAAGTAATATTTACAAATATATACAGAATTTTAAAATATAATTATTGAAAAAGGGAAAATCAAACCAATGTGATTTTCTTTTGGTAATGCCATCTATTATCCCAATTTACTTTTTTGGCAGGGAAGCGTATGGTAACAGGTTTATCCCAGTCTGCAGCTTCTTCATCTTACAAGAAGGAAAATGAAGAAATATCAACTAAATCTAAGATTAATTCCAGGTAAATCATTAGATTAGCTGATGTTGTCAACTTTCAAATTTTAAACTGTAGGCAGATGACTAATTCCCAGACAGCTCCTTATAATCAAGGGCCCACCATAACTTATTTTTCTTATATAAAAGACCTCCCTAATGTGCACATTCAAATTCAAATTCCCACTGCAAACTTTTAAAAAGACAATTCTGTGGTAACAAAAGCAACAATTATAAAAATATACTCATTCTCTAAAAACATGTTGCTCTTTTCTCCCCTCTTATCATTGAAAAATACTAATTAAAGACACTAAAGACTACATTCCCAAAATAACTTAAAAAAATAGGGACACTGCAGATTAGGACTGATAGGTTAGAACACTGTTTAAAAGATGCTGTAGAATCCATATCAATTTCTTTTCTTTTAAATGTATAAATCAGGAAAATACATTTTGAATTGGACAAAGTTTTAAAATTGAGTAGAACTAAGAAATGGTTCTAGAATACATTCAACTTTCTTTTTTAAAAGTACATATTCACAAGAAGCGCTTCCATGTTCACTTTTTTTTCAGGACATCTTCTGAGTAGCAATTAACCATTCCAGTGCACTTGTCACTACTACGAGCACAACAGGTCACAACCTCCGCAAATGCTGTTTGCTTTTTTTGGTGCCGGGAAGTGGTCCTAGATTAAAGCTAGATTTCACAGGCTTGTTACTCATACAGTCTCTGGCACAGTGGTAGCTGCATAGGCACTTGGTGCAGAAGTCAAAGTTACAGCTTTCACGACTGCATGTTGCCCTCTGTAGATAGGAGTCATATTTTGCAGGTGAGCCACAGCGACTGCAGACTTTAAGGCTCTCAGTGTTTTTCAAGGTCTTGGCAGCCTATTAAGAAAATGTACATAATTTTTTTTAATCAAAAAGAAAATCACAGGAATAAATTAATATATACCATTCCAAGTTTCTCTCCTTGCTCTGTAACAGTTAGGGACATAATGCAGTCATATCTCCCCCTTCTGTTGGAAGATAAATTATCAACACACAAATTGGGACTTAGGTAGGAACTCTTTTGGGGATTTTATGGAGATTAATCCACCTAAAACACATGTTGATGGGCTACTCGAGACGACCTTAAGATAACATTGGTACGGTAATCAGGAACAGGGAACTGTTTGGCTTTCACTGCAGTCTTTAAATTATTACTATTGTAATGCCTGGATTAGCTATCATAGGCTAAGTACAGACAGTCAAAAAGCCTGAGGCTGAATCAATTCAACCTTTGCAGGTTAGTCTAAGCTGCACAGATTGAACTGATAAGCAAGTGAACAGACATTCACTTTTGATTCTGGAAATGCAGTCACATGTCTGCAGTGGCCCAGGCCAGAAGCCAGGAGATACTAGAGCACGTCTCCCTACTCTGCTGGAGCACAGAGCTTGGGCCAAGGCTAGCCTGCCCACCTTGTGAAGTGAGGTTTGCAGAGGAGGTGCAAAGCATCCTGGGATGTTGAGGGCTGTGAGTTCACTTGAATCTGGAGGAGATCTGGGACAGAAGTTCAACAAACTGATTTAACCTAAATCAGTTATACTACATCCACCCCTATTTATTTTAAAGCAGTTTTGGCCATTTTGAAAGTGGTTCATGTGTACTGAACTTCTGTTCTGTTACAGATTTGAACCAGTTTATGATCACTTATACTAGTGTATGTTTAATTTCCCAAGATGCTTTTCACCTCCCCTGTAAACCCTCCCCCTGGCAAGTGGGCAGGGTAGCTTTGGCCATGTTGTCTGCTCCAACAGAGCACGGAGGTGTACTCTAGCACTCCCTGGCTTCTGACCTGTGCCACTGCAGGCATGTGGTTGCATTTCCAGAATCAAAAGTGAATGTTCACTTGCTTACTAGTTCAATCTATACAGCTTAGACTAACCTGCAAAGGTTGAATTGCTTCAGTGTCAGGCTTTTTGACGGTCTGCACTTAGCCTAAAAACAGATGCACTCCAAATCACTGACCACGCCTGAAAATTCATATCTGTGTAATGTAAACACATTTCTTATGTCAGTGGTATCAAAGATAAGTGTTCTAAGAATCAAGTTTTCCTGTTGTTATTTTCTTTATACGCATGTGTGCGTGTGCGTGTGTGTACGTGTATGCACACACACATACAAAATAACACATTTCTCTTGCCTGCACAATGAAAACTAATTAAGTCACAAATACTCTTGTTTCTAATAATGCTTTCACATTTTTAGAGCTATAAAGTAATGTTTATTTGTACAACGAGTTTTCAAATACAGGGTAGCTTTAATCTGGCTAAGAACTATTACATTTGAGTGAAAAAAAGTTTGCTAGTCATGTATATTTTTGCATGTTTGACTAAAATAACATGTACACCACTATTTTAAATACTTTTATTTTCACAAGAAACAGATTAAATCATATTGCAGTTCATTTGGGAAAAAAACAGCAAAAAAATCATCAGCAAAACGCTAAAAAGCAGCAAAAATGTGGCAATAGCCAAAGAAAAAATGTACTGAATATTACTACTTCCACAACTTGATGAAAGCAGTAACTCAATTTATTAATAGTTAGGGACACCTCTGCCTAGTGAGGAAACTTTACTGTGGACTTTTAAAACTTAGAAACTTATTCAACTGAGTTAAATCTCAAAAACATTTCTAAATGGATAATAAATTGAATTTGTGGCCAAACAATAGTCCCAGCAGACCTCATTAAGTCAGAAATGTCTGTTTTGGATGTCAGATAAATCTAGATATTGAAAATGCTTGACAGCACGCCCATAGTTGAAGATGAAAACAAATGACAAAGTTACCTCAGAAAACTCCACAAGTCTGCTGTGAGGGCTGTTCTGATTGGGTGCTTTGGCTCTGCATGATTTCTTGCATGAAATGCTTGGTGGTACTGCTTTCTGAACAGAAGCTAAAGCTGCTCGACACAGAACATATTCCCTCGTTGCAGCATGTTCTGAGGGTTTTGCATTGCTGTCCTGTTGGGAGGTAAAAGGAGGTTAAAATTTAACAAGGCTTCTCTTTGACAACTCAGTTTGGCGTAAAATGACTTGAGTGTCTTTAAGAGTAACGGGGTTGTATTCTTAAGCCTTTCTCTGGCCACTAGATTTCCAATATTTCTGAGTCTGGATAGTTAGCTAATTGATCACTTTACCACAATTACAATTTTAAGTGCACAGGAGAATGCGAGCAAGCCCATTAAAATCTTCAATTATATTGCAAGTTATTTCCAAATTAACAATGGTTTTAGACGTTTAAATCATGGTAGTGCAGGAATGATGTTGTAGCTCTGATGGTCTGGGAAATATGCAAGAGGTAAGGATTTTTTGAGGGTGATCTCTCTTATTGAGCCAACTGCATAGTTTGGATAGACTTCGAGCAATGGTTCTCAACCTTTTTAGACTCAAAGCACCCCTCAGAAAATACCGACTCAGAAAGATTATAAAACAGGTCAGCATGTTTTTAACATTATACCTGGTTTTATCTTGTGAATCATGTTGCACACCCAACAATGCTAACATTGTGTGGCACTCTATGATCTCACCTCTCAAAGAACCTCAAGGGACCCCAGAGTGCCATGGCATCCTGGTTGAGAATCAATGACTTAGACAAGTTTTTGAATGCAGTACATTCTTCTTCAAAAGCTTGACTAAATCTGTCCCAACCATGGCGTTGGTCCAATAAAACATATCACCCACAAAAATCCTTTCCTTTAGACAAACTGCAATTTAATCCTGGTAAACTTCTAAATCTCTCCAAAGAATCTTTTCTTGAAATTCTGTTGTGATAGATAGGAATGCTTGTGATTCTTTTTGTCCTAACAAGTAAACTTCTAGTTCAGATGTTCCAGACTTGCACACAAGATTAGCAAAGAAAGAAGCAAATGTAATGGGACCTGTATTTGTATCAATGGTGTCCAGTGTTTTCAGCCTGAGGTCAACAGGTCAAAACAAGAGGTCACAACCTTTTATGGTATCTTCTCTAGCCTGCTCCATTTCCTTTGCACCACTCAGGAATAAATGCCTAGTCTTTTGAATAAAGAGTCCACCAAGGCTAACATAATTGGATCTCATATTTACTATCTCTCATAAACTTGTTGGATGCTGGGCATGGATGGTATAAGATGCCTTCCTGATACCTAGCTGACAGTCATGGAGACCACTGGTACCTGATGTTAATTCTTAGCCCCTAATGCTAGGGCTAAGAATCTAAAGCCAGAAGACAGATACATGATTCTTCAAAATGCAGCTACACTTTAAAGCACTTAAAAAACAGAGTGCTTCAGTTAGACAGACCTTCAGGCCCCTGCCACACAACCCCTGCTAAATCACTGTGGTTTCATGCAGCAAAGTACTTGCCAGGTAAGGGCCATAACAGGAGTCTACTGCATCCCACAGCTCTTCTCACCCCCTCTTCTCTACCCTGCAAACTCAGGGGTAGTGAAGCAGACTGTCAAGGAGTGCTTTTCAGTAGAGCCAGCTGTCAGTGGGCAGACAAATATAACAGTGGAAACATTTCAAAGGCATTTGAAATGTTTCAAAGGGCCAGCTTTACAAAAACATAGATACTCTGCAAAACTGGAGCACTGAGCCCTCTCCTCTGGCATACTTCATAGTTAGGCTTGGCAGAATTCAATTTTAGAAAATAATTTCAATGGATGATATTGATGTTTATTTTTAAGTATTTATTTAGATTTTTATCAATTTAAATTTTCAGGATTGAGTGAAATTAAGGGTGTGGGGGGCAAGCAATTTATTAATGACAAATGTAACTACTGTAGGACTGCTGCCAGCTGAATGGCAGAGCTGCCATCAGTCCCAGCTCTGCTTGACCATAGCTCCCTCGTCCACTTTGTTACTTCCTTTTCCTTTGTTCCCAGTTCTCTTGGGCTTCTGGGAGTTGCAGTCTAAACTACAGTCTGCACAGTTTTGTAGGACTGCTCCCCCTGACATCTCACACACACACACAATCAGCCACTTTTCTTACATCCCCTTTCTATAAGTTTCAATTACGAACAATGGATTTTTTTTTGTCAGTCTGAGAGTGAGGTGAAATTGATGTTTATCAACAAAAATCAAATCCTGCCAATCCTATTCATAGTGCATGCTCACATACCAGGAAGTAATTTGTTTTATAGTGCTTATAAATAGTTACTACTTATAAGTTTATTTTTGAAGCATATGAAAAGGCACATATCTTCTCATTCAATGCTGGAAGGACATCTGCCCAGGGCCAGGATTTCATAACAGGTTGTTCAACAAGTTTCCTCTCTACTTCCTCTATTTTGGAGTCCCCAAGTGGTTGTCCTAGGAAGAACAGACCCATCTGCTGCTAGATACTGTCCCAGGCACAAACAGCATCAGTCAAAATTTCCAGGCCTATCAGAGGCCCACAGGGAAACAGCCAAATAAAGGGATCAGAACTACTCTCTCTTTCTTCTGCAATGCAGCAGGCAGACAGGCTTTGGAACCACTGCTTGCGAGAAAAGACAGCACATGTTTTCAAGGAAGTGATTCTTCCGCTTTACTCTGCATTGGTGAGACCGCAGCTGGAGTATTGTGTCCAGTTCTGGGTGTTGCACTTTAACAAGGCATGGAAAAGCTTGAGAGTCCAGAAAAGAGCTACTCGTATGATCAGACTTGCATGGCAAGCCATACGAAGAAAGGCTAAGGGACCTGGGACTCTTCAGCCTGAAAAAGAGAAGGCTGAGAGGGGACTTGGCAGCAGCTTATTGCTACATCAGGGGAGTACATCAAGGGCTCGGTGAGCAATTGTTCACCAGGGCACCCATGGGGAAAACCAGGAGTAATGGCCACAAACTCCTGGAAGACTGTTTCAGACTCAACATTAGGAAAAACTTCTTCACAGTTAGGGTGTTCAGACTGTGGAATAAGCTCCCTCCAGAGGTGGTGCAATCACCTACCCTGGAAATCTTCAGGAAGAGACTGGATGGTCACCTTGCCGGGGTCACCTGACCCCAGTTGTCTTTCCTACATAGTGTAGGCGGTTGGACCTGATGATCTTCCAAGGCCCCTTCCAGCCTTACAATCTATGAATGTTCATGAAAGGCTTCATCAGAGGTTCTATATCTACAGCTGCACTTGACAGAACCTCTAATCTTCACAAGAAGTTAGGGGCACTTCAATTTAACCACTGCAAAGTGTACAGTGAATACATTTCCAACTGTAATCAAATAGGAATTTCCTTAATAGCATTACCCTTGAGGACTGCAAGCAGTGCCTATACAACAGGTCAGGCACTTCTGAGTTAGATTAAAAATCCATCAAAGGTAGGAACTTACAGATATGTGTTTTACTGCTTTACTATACAGCTGGGAAGCCCATTTGTCTTGTTGCAGAATTTTCTTCCATGTTGTGCTTACTTTCGCAACACTGTAGTGAAAACACAAGCACTTTAGTCATCATGTGGAAATAATAGAAAAACTGTTGCTCAATAATTGTTCTCAAATCTAGTAATAAAAAGTACCCCTCTTCAAGAAACAGAATAACCCAGACACTAAATTATTCTGAACTCACACTATACTAGGCATTGCACAAATATAAAAGGTAACAGGTCCCCCTCCCTATAAGCTTATCATTTAAGCAGACAAAAGGAAACTATAACAGAAGCGGCCGAGGCGGGGGGGAGGGGTGTAGGTGGCAAGATACAATTTGCTGGTGATTCAGCATGGCAATATTGTCATTTTATTCTTTTCATGAAGAATTAATAAAAGAAGTAAAAGTCAGAAAAATAAAGTTTCATAACTAGGACTGAGGTGTTAACTCCTAAGGTATTCTATTTCTCTCTCTGACAAAATCAAACGTGTTTGTATTTTGGCAAACTTCTATATTCACTGTTTTAGGTAATTATTTCAGTATTGAAACTGGCTAGCAAACTATTGATTTATAGGAGTAAATGAAAACCCCCTCCTTGATAGGTGTTTTTCATGAAGATTTTCCTATGAAAGGGCATATCACCCCTATACAAAATGTACATATGCTAAAAGTTTACGCTTTCAAAATTATTAGTACAAAGCATAACACTGACTAAAATGCAGAAGTCATGTGCTTTAGCAAACAGCAATATCCTTTATGGTTCCAAAATACCTTACTACCTCTCTACTCAGACTGTTTCAGGAGCTCCATGAGCTCCTGCATTTGTTCATGGAGCTCCTGAAACAGACAGACAGACAGCTGAACTGCAGAAAACATTGTCCAGTTAAAAGTAAAAAAAACCCAACAAATAAACCAAAACATTAGTTAATATTTATACAGTACAATAGGGAAGAATAGTTTAGAAAAGGTAAGCATATGTTGCATTAGTCATGATTGCAGAACAGACTAATCAATGTAGTAAAACAGGTTCAATATTCTTTTTTGTGAAAATCAGCAGTGGTACATTCAAGAGGTACTCCTAGCTCAGAAACTACAGTCTGAAGTACCACCGCTCTATTCACTTTCACAATTAAAGTCAGAAAGTTATTAAACTTACTTTATTAAGTCCAGCTCATCAAGATGCCTTAAAATGTTTGCTAAAAGATGTCTGAACTCTCTTCGGAAGAGTTCACTGAGAATGTCTATTCTATCTAATCCCATTTTCCTGCCAATTAGATTCTGAAGTCCAATGCTTTCCCTGGAAATAATTCTGTCCACAATAGCCCAGGTGCCAAGATTTCTTTTACCACTCTTTTTCAAAGTTGAGCAAATTAATTCTTCAAAATGAGTAACTGGCAGCGAGGTTTTTTTTGGAAGCTGCAACCGGCTTTGGTTCTTTATAAGATAGTGTTTTGGTGTATCAAAGATATTTCCTGCCAATGGTATACTGTCCTCATGGTCTGTTGGATCATTACTTTGGGTGCTTAACATAGAGGAGTAACCACTGTCCTCATTAATCCTACTGTTTTCCAGTGTCTCCATTTCATGGGCATCCTCCCCAAGTCTGCACAGTACTTGCTGGTTTTCTTTGTTATGTACAGGCCTTCCTTCAGTTTTCAGGTCTAGATTTCTTGGGCTTGTATTATGCAGTAGATTATGACACTCTTTGGCACAGTCTTTACAAGTCACCATTTCATTATCTGAAGCACAGGATTCTTCTACTCTCATCTTTGCTGCATCAGGCTTTAATGGGGTGTATCCAGTATGGACATGGTTACAATTAAAATCGCATTTCATTTTGATAGAATGGTTAAGATTTGCTTTCATTATTTTATTGGTTGTATCCTGCAAAAAAAAAAAGCAGTGTTAAACTAGGGGAAAACAACAGCAAATCTTCTTTACTTTAATCCACACACACTATTGCAAACAAACTTTTTGGCTTCCATCCTTCTTTAAACATCTATACCCAAAGCATACACAAAATCAGAGTACATATTTTATATTGGCAACCATTTGCTCCAGTTTTCCTTGTATCTGATGTAGGGATGTAAATATTGTTTTAAAAATTACCCATTTAAACTCCTTTAATTATATTGGTTAAATAGTCCTGCGGCAGAGGAGCAGGGCAGCGTGGGGATTGCATTGAGTTCTGCTACCACTCAGGACTGAAGTCTGTGGCTCCACACATTGAGTGTGGGAGTGGGCAGGCAGTGGTGCCAACAGTGGCAGTGTAGGCTGGCGGAGTCCACAGCTTTGCACTGTCCGCTGTTGCAGGAGCAGCTGTAGCAGGAGCTGCGCAGGTGCCAGTGTAGATCCAGGCTGCAGAATCATGTGGCTGCTAGAGAGGAAGGTAACTAGCAGTTACCTGAGGGAGTAGAGCACAGTAAAAGTTGAACAGTAGAGCCAGCAGGTCTTAAATACAAACAAGCACAGCAGCACAGCTGCCACTCGGTGTCAGCTTCATGGAGCCAGGAAACCCTTCCCACACAACACCCACAGGAGCTCCTGTCTGCTGGGACAGACGCACCATGCCCAGTGCCTCCAGGCCAACTATGCCTCAAGTCCCAGGTAGTAGTTCTTTCCTCCCACCCACCCCTGACAGCTGCCACACTGTTCTCTTCCCCATCTGGATGCTGTCAGCAGCCAGGCTGGAACCGTGCTCCTCCCACCCAGCTGAGGGCTTGCCCTGGTGCGGCTCCTGGCAGAGGGTGCTCAGCCCACAAGTGGATGCCTCAGGCACAATCCTGCGCAGCACATCCGTCCACCACTGGGGGACAGCCAGGAGGGACGTGCTGCCTGTGGCTCTGGGCTGGAGGACCACCAGTCCCAGGAGGCAGGAGCCCTTGTGGGTGCTATGTGGGGGAACCTGTCTCTGTGCAGCCTGCCCATGGCACCTCATGGCAATCCCACCACTGCGCTCACTCCTATTTAAGGACTGTGGGTCCATCACACAACTGTGCCTGGCTATACTCCCCCTGGTAACCACAAGTTACCTTCATGTCGCAGCAGCTGCGTGATGCTGCAGCCTGGATCTGTGCCACTTCCAGTGTAATCCTTGTTGGGGGCCACTCCCCTGACAGGAGGCAGCACTGAGCCAGGAGGTAAATGGCAAATGTATAAATAAACAGTATAAATATAATTATTATTTAACCTTTTAACTTTTACATGCTTAATATGATAGCAAACTTCTTGGTCCATTTATTTTTCTGAAATTCACCTTCTACAGAAAAACTCCAAAAATGATCAAAAGAAGACTACCTTCCCTTCCTCAGAGGCCTTTACACAGAGGTGAGCAAATATTTGGGCTGGAGTGCCACTTGACAAGTTTTGGTGAGCTGTTGAGGGCCACACATGCACACATGTACATGCGCACACACGCACAATCCCCAGCCCCAGCTTGCTTGCACCCGCAACCAGCACCTGCTGGCTGCATCCACAGCTGTGGGGGCAGGGGATGGAGCCTGTCCCATCCAGTCATCAGGGTTCCTGGGAGCCAGAGAGGAGAGAGTGGGGATATGCACACACATCAGGCCAGGCTGGATGAGCTGTGCTTGGGCCCCGGTGGCTACTAGGCAGAAGTAGCCCTATTTGCCTGCTCAGCATTGCCCCATGGCTAGAGTTGTCAACATCAGAGAATAGCTCACTCAGGGTCAGCTGCACAGTGCCAGATGGCTGGAGCTACTTCTGCCAAGTGTCCCACACAGTGCCTGCGAGATGCAGTCCAGCTCTGCAGGTCATAGGCACTGCCTGCCAGCAGAGGCCAGGACATAAGTGCAGATCAGAGCCTGCAGAGGCAAATTGCATCTCCCTGGCTCCAGTGAGATGCTGGGTAGAAAAAGCCCTGCCCACCCACCCCTGTGCAGCAGGCCTTGGGCGAGCCATGCTCAGGTCTCTGGCTCTGCTAGTAGGCAAAGTGGGTGGCAGCTCTGGCCTGTGCTGGCGCCACATGATGCCAGATGGGAGGCAGTCTCTTCCCACCTCCACCCCACCTGCTTATTGTCTGGTGTGGGTTTGGCTCCATTCCCTCCTGGGCACAGAATACACACAAGCTCTGGCCATACAGTGCCATCTGAGAGCTAGACTACCATATTTACATGGCCAGGCAGGGGCTGGAGATGGAGTTTGACAGTAAGCAGTGGGGGAGAAGGGAAAGAAGCTGTGGGAGATGGTGGGGGATGGAAGTGGGCACAGGGAGGGGAACAGACAGATGCTGCTGTTGTGACTCTGGCCTTGACCCAGGCTCAGGGCCAGAATTGGAGAGACAGCAATCACCTGCTGCCAACTCTGCTTTGTACTCAAATCCAAGATGAGGAGCTTTCCCCCCACAACGTTGAATGGGTGTGGACCTCATCTTTGATTTAAATATTAAGTGCTTACAATGAAAAATAGACTTGATTCCATAATATTAACTTATTTTATTAATATTACATTGAGGTGCACGGATATATTGCTCTATATCTTATCAGGATTGATAAAAGGAAAATTGGCATATTGGCAATCGTTTTTTTTGGCTGATAATGTTGTTGATAAATGCTGCATGCACATGCACAGCTCCAGCATGCACACAGCCAGGAGTGCAGCCCAGCAGCTTGGAGAGCAGCATCTTACCAGTAAGTCTATATGGGGGAAGAAGGGGTGTGGGGGGACACAAATCTAGACTCCTGTGGTGAGGGAGGGAGTGGGACTGGGGCAGGGGCTGCACAGCCAGGGTGAGCCCTGGGACAGAGCTGCAGCTTGTCTGGGGAGTGTGCTCCTGCCGTTGCATGGAGGAATGGGGACCATGTGACCCCCGGATCTGTGCGCAGGGCGAGGGCAGGCTGCCCACTGCACTAGCCTCTTCCTAGTGGGGGGGCTGGGCCCAGGCTGTGCTGCGGGCAGGCAAGGATGGGGCAGGTGGCAGTGGCGCTGGGAGCAGGGTTATGGTGAATTTTGGGGTAACTACAGAACACTGCTACAACCTGCCCTGCCCCTGCCCACAGCCTGGGCCCAAACCCCCCACCCCTTTTGAGAAGAGGCTGGAGCAGCCCCTGGCTCCAAGCACACAGCCCACCCTCACCCCATGGACAAAACTGAGGGGCACATGCCCCTATGCCTCTCCTGGGGTGAGGGGGTGATGCATGCAGTGGCGGGAGCCACCCCCACCCCTCTGGACAAGCTGTGGCTCTGTCCTGTGCCCTGCACTGACTCTGCAGCACCTACTGCAACCCCAGCCCCACTCTCTCCTTCACTGTGGAGGCCTCTATGTGCCCCCCCTTTTCCTTTCCCTCCCCCCTGCCCCAGACTTACCAGCTGGACACTGCTCTCCAAGCTGCCAGGCTGCACATCAGCAATCACATTGGTATTGGCTGATATGGCTGGTTAATAATTGGTCATTGGTATCAATCCCCCCCCCCCCCCAAAAAAAAAAAAAATCGATGCACCCCTAATATTACATTACACAAAAGCCTATTTTCCCATGCATATTACAGGGATGAGTAATTTCAGTTTGTCACAGAATACTAAATGCCATGCAGGGCTTAGAAACTAAATCTGGCCCACATTGCCATTAGATCCAGCTTGCAGACATGAAGCTTTGGTGGTGGGGGGGTTTCAGCAGCATTACCTTTCCCATGCTGTCATGTAGAAAACCACCAGCTGAGGGTGCTCTCCCCATGCCACCATGAGGAAAAGCACTGGCTGTGGGCCCTTCCCCCTTCCACTGCTAGGGAAGAGTGGAGGCAGCTAGATCCATGCCCACCCACCTACCTCTGACCGCAACTGGGTCATGCCAACCTACAGTATTAAAAGGTTGTGGGCTGCTGCCTTACTATATCTTCTGGACTGTTTGGGGTTCAGATGCCCCCGAGTCTCGCTTGCCCTTAGCCATATGGCTGCAGGAGCAAGCTAGGGAGGAATCTCCCATTTCCATAAAGTCAGCATGTAGCTGGGATGCTCCCACTGAAAGTTGGGCAGTGGGAAGCTAATTATGAGTCTCTCGTAGGGAGTCCGGTCCACAAGCAGACAAGGGTGCAACCCTCCCTGCTACACACGGCCATTTTAATTGCATTACCTTGGCTGTGGTGAAAATAAGTATACCATGCTGCCAATCAGAGCCCAGAGCAAGTTCCAATAGTGTCCATTGCACTCAGTCCCCATCAGCACCAATTCTTTTTCAAAGTCATGGTGAACCGCTACACTGAATACATTTCAACTTCCTCTTTACTCCTACAGCTCAGCTGCACCTCTCTCTCATTTCCAATGATTCCCGTTTCTTCAGCAGCTGTAAAGTTCTGGGAAACATCACCAAATGGGGCCCCAAACTGTGCACCCAGAATCCCTCTGTCAGCCCCTCTCTCAGCCTGGTGCACATGATGAGATACAGCTGGACAAGGCTGCGTATACCTCATCTGCATACACATTTTTGGAGGATCTCTGGTTCCAGTCATGAGTGGGGACTAGTTAGCACATGGATCCTTTGTGGGTTGTAGCTAGATGATACACACATACTAAACAGTGCTGAACTATGGGGTCACCATGGATTGAAATGCTGTTGGCTGGTGGGGCCCCACTCAATGAGCTATACAGTAAATCACGAACCTTTTGGCTTTGGACTAATATCATGTATAGTTTGCATTATATATGTATAAATCTGCTGCTTAAAAGTGGAGTCCCTGTGCTATGGAGTCCCTGTGCTAACACTTGCAGCAATTTAAAAAAAGATAAAATGCATCAATTCTGGATAAACTAAGTCTATAGGTACAATATGCAACTTGCTGTGTTTACTTCAAGATCAGTTTTTTTGAATTTTCTCCTCACTTCCATGAGCTCAGGGAAAGCAGGGTCTGACAATAAAGGAGGGAAGGGACTGCAAGGGGAAAAAGTTGGAAGTGAGCAGAGGGAAAAGGGGCTATGTGACCCCCCCCCAATATTTATTCTCCCTACTGTAACAGTGGGAGGGGGACAAATTCAATACAAGCCTGCAATAATTAGATGATATACCTGGAAAATTATATCAAATGTAGACATTATCCATATAGGGAGTCTAATCCTTGGAGGGGTTGTCTTATAATTAAGGACCTACCAAGATGGTGGTGGAAGTGTGCTGAACAGCGGCTACTTTAATCTTGGAATTTTTTTCCCCAAGCGCCCCCTGCCACTTGCTTCTGATCAATAGGGAGGCAAAAACTGTGGTTTTAAATAGGGCATGTTTTTTGCCTCCCCGCTGCTCAGCTATATTTGAGTAAACATGGTGTCGATTCTTGCAAGAAATAACATCGGATATTTAAATCCTCTCCCTTAGATCCTCATCTAAATTATATAACACATTATGGAAGCTGTACTCCAGAAGGGCACCACACGGTTTGGAGGGCATGTATTTAAGACCAC